GAAATGAAAGAAATAGAAAGTGATATGATTAATCCCTTGCCGGGATGGTTTGAGTATATTGATTATCTCCCTTGCCGGGATGTGAAAGTATTGTTGTTGCTCCCTTGCCGGGATTTAGCTGTTAATTGTGTAATTCCCTTGCCGGGACATTTCTTATTATTGTTTATCCCCTCGCCCCGTTTTGTTGTGATTACTGTTTGGGTGAGGAAGAGTGATATTATGCACGAAGGTCATTCCGTGCCATGTTTTGATTATATTATGCACGAAGGGTCTTTCCGTGCCATGTTTTGATTATATTTGCACGAAGGGTCATTCCGTGCCATGTTTTGATTATTTATGCACGAAGGGACATTCCGTGCTCTGATTTGATTATAATTGCACGAAGGATCATTCTGTGCCATGATATGAGTGTTATGTGAGGGAAAGCACGATGGGTGATGCCGTGCACTTTATTTGATTGCTTTTGGTGAGAATGAGAGTAAAAGCACGAAGGTTGATGCCGTGCAACTGCTGATTTTCCTGCTCTCATTAATTATTGTTATTGCCCTGTTTCTTACTTAAATTGTTGACTTTATATCCGGACTGTACTCCCCCATAGTATGCTCCCCTCCCTCTTAACTGTTTAATTTCTTTGTTCTTTCCTTTTATTGCATATATATATTGAACTGCACAGGTTGGTTTGGTAGTCCTGTCTAGCCTCGTCACTACTTCGCCAGGGATAGGCCAGGCACTTACCAGCACATGGGGTCGGTTGTGCTGATGCTACACTTCTGTGCTCTTTTGCACAGATCACGGTACCGGAACGGCTTTTGGACCACAGCAGTAGGATATTGATCGGGAGCTGACTTCAGTCCAGGGACTTACGAGGTAGCCTAGCTGGCATTCGCAGGCCGGAGTCCCTTTCCATGTTTTCAGTTTGTTTTCATTGTACCGAGACAGAAATTTATGCATTTCTATTCAGACTTGTTTGTAGCACTCTTTAGTAGTTCGTGAGATAGCGACACCAGTCTTGGGTAGAGAAATGTTAAACTTCCGCATTTTTGGATTTTCAGTTATCTATATATTAAAGACTTCCGCTTTTATTTAAATGACCCGTTATATTTATATTGTTATTGTTGAGGTGAAATCAGGAAATGTTTAAAATGTTTGGCTTGCCTAGCTCCGTTAGTAGGCGACATCACAACTCCCGATGGTGGGAAATCCGGGTCGTGACAAAGAATATCATCCAGCTCACTTGGATAAGAACAGTCGTCATCTATAACGGAAGTCTACACCAAATTTCATAGGTTAGAAAAGTTATAATTGACAACTAAATTAAGTTTATTAGTATACCTCAACTAATCCTTGCTTCAATTCTTTTGAATCTGCATCGCTTCGCTATTCCAAAGCAATAATGAGATAAAAGCGGTTCCATCAATAACACCAACTTGAAGTCGATACCTGCAAGCCAAATTTTTTTTTTGTCTTGTGCATTTACTTTTTATATGTTTTAAAACCATATGGTATGAAAATTACCTAAGACCAACAGAATGTTGTTCTTCATTGCATTTCTCACAAAAAAATGTTCCCAATTTTGTCAACCTTTTTAGTGCACTTGTTGCATGCCAAGTATGACCATCCTCGTTCAAGTTCCAAATTAACCAATTTAGCAGCAATCCAGTAGGTACATTCCTATTTAAGAAAAAAAAAATATTGTTCTAAATTATACTGAGAAATCATAAAGTAAATATGCAAATTCATACTAAATTTAACTCACTTCTCCACACTGAACTAAATCCGTGATAGTTTTGAATGATATAATTACTTTGGCTAATTCATCTCTGACAGAATAACTTTGCTGAGAGCTTGTTTGAGTAATCCGCTCACAGTTAGATGGACATGTTGCAACTAATCTGCATATGTCGTAACGTGGTAAAAGTTATAAATGTTAGTATCATTATGTAAGTACCATTAAAAAATATTACACCCTTTACAAACCTAGATTTAAACTCAACATATTGCGGCAGAGTAGAATTGATCCGAAGTTTTGTAGAGTACCAACAACTACGCACTGAGTAGTTACCTGTAGATAAGATAAATCAAAAAGTAGAAGCTAGAAATTTTTTGAAACTAAATTTTAAATATAGATGTAAATTTGGTAAACCTCGAAATTTTTGAGGTTTCATAAATTGTAAAACAACAATCAAAGATTCGTCGATAGCTCCATTCAAGTAAGGTTGAATGTGATCCACAAGTTCACTCCATAAGGTTGCCGTAATTCTGTTCCTCCTATAAGTTTCAAGGTAATCCTTCATCAACAAAATAATATAAATAATTAAACTATAAAAGTATAGTTTGTATTAACGTATAACTTACTGATCATCTTCGAGTTGAACATTGAGGAAGACACTGTCGTTATCTCCTTGCTTGTGGGTCTTAACATCTTCATACTTCACAACCTGACCAATGACATCTACAAATATAAAAGTTAGTTAGACAATTTTGTAAAGCGTGGTAATAATGGAAGAGAAGAATTACCGAATAATTCTGCCTCATCGACATCCTGAGTCGTTACCTGATCAAAAGGACGAAAGTTAAAGATATTCATATGAAATGAAGAATCAACTATTTCCTCAACCGTTGTCCTTTGTGTAAATGTCAGCCTCAGATTGTGTGGTGTATTCTTTAAACTCAAGTTGTTTGGTACGACGACAAAGTAGTTCATGCGATATAGGCCAAGTTCATGTATCTTGGTCGTAAAGAATTTAATTACATACTTTCCAATAGAGGCCTGGATACGATCACCCTAAAAAGATAGATTAATTATTAGAATGTATCATATTGCAAATAAATAGAATATATGCACGGATTAGTGCACAATTTGTGAAGGCTTGATGTGGATGATGTTGGAGTAAGGGCAAAGCATGTGACTGTTGCATAATTGTTTCTGTACAAATGACCCCTTGAGGTGATTTTGCACTTCTGTTGGTTAAATATTAGCATGTTGTTATTATATGAGCCAAGTTGCATAATCGTTTCTGCACAAATGACCAGATTATTTTAACCAAAAGCAAAATGCAAAAGTTTAACCATAAATAATGCTAATCTTTCTAATATACTTTACATGACAAAACTAATATTTGTAGAGTCAGGATGTTGGCGAAGAAATAGTGCTGAAAGCTAAATGCTGCATTTTGTGATCATAATCAACCTCCAGGGGAAAGCGAGGCTCCAAAGATGTGTAAGCATCGAACATATAATAGAATCTTTAAAACTAAGTGAAGTTGAATAAGTAAATTTGCCGTAAGTTCGTCGTAAAGAAATTAATAACAAACTACTTTAAAAAACAGAATCGTTTCTGCACAAATGACCAGTTGCATAATCGTTTGTTATTATATGAGCCAAGTTGCATAATCGTTTCTGCACAAATGACCAGATTATTTTAACCAAAAGCAAAATGCAAAAGTTAAACATATGTAATTTTTCACAATTGGTACATCTTATTGTGAAAAATTTATCGCTAAAACCCGAAAAGAATAGAAATTTTAGAACTATAGTAATTAAGTTGAATATGTTACCTTTGCATCTTGTAAAATCAACTCAATCGAATATGGTTTTTCAGGATTGAAACGATCCGGCATTTCCCACATTCGAACGACTCTAACTTTGAGATTCTATTGCATCGAATTGCTTGAAATTTGACTGATTTCATGAAGTGTTGTAACCATATTTGCAAACTTCTGTAATTTGAGCAAGAGGTGAAATAGAAGAAAAGTAAAGACGTTGGAAACATTATTAGTGTAGGAGACAGTTTATAAGTTATGGGGGTTAGCTTTGATGCCCACTGTTTGTGTAACGACCGATCGTTCGTTCTGAGGGTTATCAGCCACATTTCCCCCATCTAGCTTATTTATATGTTGTTCGGCCGTGTTGGAGTTGTATCGAGTTGGTAGGTTGGGTTCGGTAGGTAGTTGTTGGAGTGAAAGCAACACTTAGAGTCTCTTAATTAGAAAGCTAAGTGTAGAAAAGCAGACCGGAAGTTTGACTTATGAGTCAAAAGAAGTTCGGATTTGGATTTTTATGATTCGATTAGCTTTGTTGGATGATTTTAATAGACTTAGAGTGTGTCCGAAATATAATTTGGAGGTCTGTGGTAGAATTTGGCTTTGAATTGGCAAAAGTTGGAAGTTTAGAAGTTCTAGCTTGAATTCGAGCTTATTGCTCTTATCGTTCCTATTAGCTGATGTCTCTAGGGAGTAGTGTTTAGTGAACCGAGTATATGGACTAGAGTTTTATGCCTCGCCAAGTTAGTAGATATATAATCTCCTGTTCGTGTAGAAATTAAGTTTAGTTGTACAATGTTCCGCGAATTGAGCCATCAGCTGCACTCGAGAATGACTTCTTTGAGAAAATAGATGTGTATGGGAGATTGTGTATGGTATAAGGCGTCTCTTTATATTATATCTTTTGAAGATATTACAATAGCGTCTTGTGTCAGATATTCTTAAGTCAATAATACAGCCCGTTCCATCATATTGAGTATGACAACACCTCAAGCATTTCGCGAATTTCTTTTTTAGACCGTGAAAGCAAACACTTTCAGATCGCGTATTATGCTAAATCTCATCGCGTCCAATGTTAGCAATCTATATAGATATCGATACGAATTTGTGACAATACTGCATTAATGAGAGATCCTCATTTTTATCGATCACTGTATGATATTTTACTTAAAGAATTAGGTCCAAATTCGGTACGGATTCTTTTTGCACAGGGTCGCGTTTAATTACAATACGGATCTAATGTGCCTTCAATCCAAAAAAGAACAAATCGTGCCAGAGTTTTCAGGTTAATTACGAAGAAGTCTCCCAATCGTGTTATCGGTTCACATACTTATATCTTCGATTTAAAAATCTTAGTCATAGCTATCGAAAGAAATAATTAAAAAACCACATACCTCTCCTTGGATTATAAGGGTCAAATGAGTGATTCAAAAGCCTAACTTGACTTAGAAGTTCACGAAGAAATCTTAAGTTGGAGGCATAAAAAATCGAAGAGTTTCGGATCATTTGGCTCGAAGAAACAGAGGCAGAATTAGCTGGTAGAAAATATTACAGAAACTTAGGGTTTGTTCATTCGGGTCATACTTTTGAGTTGGGGAAGCTCGGGATTTGGGCATTTTTGGAGGCGATTTTCATCATATGGAATTTGGGTTAAGTGCTTCTCGTACTCGATTATGATTTATTAATTTATGAATCCATCTTCGTTTTTGGGATTTGATTGGATATTTCAATAGTGAAATTGAGAGGTTAGGTTTGAGTTTTGGAGAAGTTTTATACGTTGAGGATTGAGACCAAAACCGGAGTCCGATTTTGACAGAAATTTATATGCGTTAGACTCGGGAGAGACGAGGATATTATTCTGCCATTTCTGACTGATTCTGAACGTTGGGTCCGGGGCCGAGTTTTTGGCCGATTTCGGATTTTTGGCATGTTTATGTAGTTTTTATTGTGTAATTCGATTCTTTAGACTATGTTGATAGTAGTATTCTGATTATGGTTAGATTCGAAGCTTTTGGAGACCGAGTCAAGGGACGAGGACATCCCGGAGTAAGATTTTACGCTGTTGAGGTAAGTAACAGTTTTAACTCTGGCTTTGAGGGTATAAATCCGGAGAAATTGATATCATGTGATTGTTTGGTGGTGATACCCACGCTAGGTGACGGGCGTGTGGGTGTGCACCGCAAGGGATTGAGACTTGGTCCGTCCCGTGAGGCCTTATGGCCATCATCTGTGTTTGCGTAGGTACTTGTTGTTGAACTTGTCTGCCTTCATGTTAGAGATCATGCTTAGGCTTAATTTATTCATGTTCATATTATTTGTACTCAGTCATAGAAATTATTGTACTTGTTTACCTCAGTCTCTATTATTTGCTAATATGCTGTGATACTTGATGTGGGCTGTGTCCCATTATTTGTTGATGATGGTGAGGCTAGTGAGGTACATGATTGAGTGAGACCGATGGCCTGATTGTGAGAATGTTAATACCATAGCGCATGAGTTGTCCGCGTAGCACGTGAGTTGACCGTGCGGGTCCAGGTATTTATACCATAGCGCGTGAGTTGTCCGCGTAGCACGTGAGTTGACCGTGCGGATCTGGTATTGATATGATGGCCTGGTTGTGAGAATATCAATACCATAGCGCGCGAGTTGTCCGCGTAGCACGTGAGTTGACCGTGCGGGTCCAGGTATTTATACCATAGCGCGTGAGTTGTCCGCGTAGCACGTGAGTTGACCGTGCGGATCCAGGTATTGATATGATGGCACGTGAGTTGTCCGTGCTTAGCGCTTGGGCTTTGGGAGCCCCTCCGGAGTCTGTACACGCCCCCAGTGAGCGCAGAGTGTTGAGTGTATTGAGTGTTGAGTGTTGAGTGCTGAGTGCGAGTGCTGAGTGATGGAGTGACATTGCTGTGAGGTTGCATTTACTTTTGCTGTTGCTGCATTTATCTGTTAAATTTCTTTGTTGCATTTACTGAGTTATGGAATTTACCTGTTTATTCATGTTATTTTTTTAAAATTGTGAAAAATAAATAATTGGACTATTTTTTTAAAATTGTGAAAAATAAATAATTGGACTATTTTGCTCAGCTCGTCACTACTGCTCAGTTCCTTAGTTATTTCTGTTACTACTGAGGTGGTTGTACTCATACTACACCCTGCACTTTATGTGCAGATCCAGGTGAGTTCGTTGAGTTCAGGCTGACTATCTGTAGAGATCGCAAGGTAGCTGCCAGCGTCCGCAGGACCTCGTTACTCTTTTTGTCATTTCTTCTTTTAGACAGTTATATATCTTAGTTCATAGTTTTAGACGCTCATGACTTAGTTACACCCCGATGTTTGGGGCTAGCTTCCGTAGTTATATTAATTATATTTAGAGTTGATTTAATTTATGAGAAATTTAAATGTTGGTATTATTTTATTAAATCCTGAAAATTAATTAGTAGTAATATTTTGGGAATAGGCTTGCCTTGTAACACGATAGGCGCCATCACGACCATGGTTAGATTTTGGGTCGTGACAGTTTGGTTTTGCGAGGAGGATCGTGGAGTATTTTTTTTCCCCTTTCTTCCTATTTCTATGTAAAATTATTTGTAAAGAAGAGTCCAATTTCTTAAATACATGATCGTGGTAAGAAACTTGGGAGTCCAACAAAACGTGGGAGTCATGTTGTGAATAGATATGCTAAAACGTGGGAGTCTTTAAATAACTGGCCAAATTATATTTTATAATTTTTTGTAAATCTCCTACCTTATTGGAATTTTGTCTGAAAAATTGAAACGTGTCATTTTTTCGTTTTGACACTTGGCGCAATATTTATGAATTTGCCTCTCCTTTTCTATATTAATAGATTACATTCTATTGCTCATGGTTAATAATTTCATAAATCTCTTCTACTTTCTCCCAAATTCTTCGCACTTTTAAGGTGAGGTCTCAGTTTTGATATGTTTTATCTTTACCTTTCTTTGTTTATTGCACTTCGCTGCTGTTCTTTAAATTTTGGATCTTCTCTCTTTCCTTTTTTGTAATTGTATCTGATGTGAGATCTTTTTTTGGCAATTTGTTTGGTGAAATCTTTCTCTGCTATCACTTTTTTGTTGGTAATCACATTTTCGTGGGTGTGTATTTGAATTTATTTTGGATTCTGGTCTCTTTCTATTGATATATGTTTGAGTTGTTGAATGTTTAATATTTCTTGTAATTCATTTGGTATGTGGGTGACACTACTGTTGCATCCACTGATTACGATTTTTCTTGACAGTTGCGTCCTTGTGCTCTCCTCCTCCTCCCCTTGTAATCCGTTACTGTGTTAAAATACAAAATCAGAAAACTGTTAGAAGAATAAAAGAAACTGAAAAACAGTAAAGAATAAAAAATATTCCGAGTCCACTATTTGCTTGTGCGTCCTTAAGGAATATTAACCCCCTCACACGTTGCCAAGGTAATGGATTAAATCCTCCCAGGATGAAAAGGAATAAACCTTCCTGCAACAGTGGCAATACAAACTGCAGGATACCAACGAACTCAAAGAACGGAGCAAAATTACACTTACTAATTTGAGAGAGAGAGACTGCGAATTAGAATGCAATATTTTCAGAAAGAAGGAAGTTTTGTAATTTTTCAGTGTGTTAAAAACGAAGCCATGCCTCAGAATTTATAGGCAATTATTGGAAGAGGTGTGATGTTTGTTCTGGAAAAGGTGTCTGTTCAGAAGTTTGCGCGTCCTGCCGCGGTCCTACCGTGGTTACGCCAGGACCGCGGCCAGAGTGGCCTTCTGAATCTGCAGCAGTGTTCTGGCGCGGTCCTACCGCGGTCACGCCCGGACAGCGGCTAACTAACTGACATTTAATTAATTAATAAATTTTGTCCAAAAATAATCTTATCGATCGATCATTTTCCAAATCCAAATCCAAAGCCAAAGCCGAGCGAGCGACGACGACGGCGCGAGGGTTCATTCTCTTCAACTCCTTTTAAGAGCTTTAAGAAGTGATTCTATATATATACACACAAATGTAGTTGTCCCTCACCAATGAGGGACAAAGTTCAAGACAAAAGCTCACTTCATTCAAATTTTCATTTCCCTC